AGATTGTTGCAATTACTGATACGCCAGAATCTCCAGACCAGGAAGAAATGAACGTGGATCCTTCTCCTGAGCCATATTTGCCAACGCCTGACACAATTAAAGATGATGAAGATGATATGATGCCAATGATGCATGATGATGCAGACATGATGGAACTGGATGATGCAAGCAGAACGCCTGTGACTGATGTGGAAAATGTGACTGAGCTTGATATTGTCAGTCAAACAACACTAGACTTGAATGTTACTAGCAGTGCTGAGATGCCTGTAATGGACAGTGTAGTCCACTGTCAAGCCAGCATGGACACAGTAGAAGACAGTTCAAGTGAAGCTCTTAAAAGTGTTGTATCAGAAGCTACAACTCAGATTAGCTCGAGTGGAAAGGTAGCGAGACCTGACCTGTCATGTGGTTTGACAACAGCAGCACAACTTCCAATTTCAGGTGTTCATCAAGCAAACAGAACAGCTGTTGTTACATTCCCAGGCCTTACTGTGCCTGCTACAAGTTATTCCAGGGGCCAGCTTCAGAATTTATCACCTCTCTTAGTAGAGGAACATACCTTTGCCACTGACACAGTGTCTGTCTTGAATACTCTGATAGCATCTGCAGTTGCCCCAGTCACAAGACAGGTCACTTCTCTTGTTCCTTCAGCGGTAGCAATTCCTTGTTCTGTACCATTTGCACTTGATTCAGAACTGACAAACTCAACAGGAACTTTGCCAGTACAAGTACCTCCTGCAACTTCGGCCAAAGAGAAACTTCAAGAAACTCCAAGCACGTTGACCGCGTCATATTTGACCAGCCCATCTGCAGTTGTAACCGAGGGTGTAGGGATTACAGTCACGTCTGAAGTCGGGTTAACCACACCAGTAGCAAGCCCAGGGTGTTCAACAGCTGCAGTGCCTCTCCATGCTGACAGTCTAGTGTCTACAGCCTGTGTGACATCAGACAGTGCACCTCACATGCACTCGAGTGTGACTGGAGCTTCACCCACTTTTTCTATCATTAAATCAGCTACAGCATCTTCTTCACCTCGGAGGACATCGATTCTCCAGGGTTCTGCTGGAAGCTTATCTGCAATGTCAGCTGTGCCAGTTTGCATAATTAGGTCACAGAGTGGTGGCAGTGGTAGTGGAATTTCAACTACGGTGTCTCTTATCAGTAGTGCGGTTGCTTCAACTGTTGCATTGCCTGTTACCAGTTCTCAGCTAACATCAGCTACAGTGGCAAATCTGGTTGCAGATGCAGTAAATGCCGCGCGTTTACCGTACCCGCCGGCTTCGGTAGGCCAACATTTGGCCTTCACGACAGCAAGTGTGGTGCCGCTGGTGACTGCGTCGCCAGCGGGTGTTAGTGTGATAGCAAGTGCGTCAACTGTGTCACTGGGAGGTATAAGTATGTCTGTTGATTCTTTGGTTCCACCACCCAGAATGTCCACAGCTCCAGTCACAAGTTCTCAGTCTGTTTCCCCACATGTACCTGTCACAGTTGAAACAAATTCTTCCATTATCCCAATAGTGGACACTAAGCAGTCATCTGGTGAAAACCAGAATTACATAGTTAAACATGCACCACCAACCTCTGTTCAAGCAAATGCTGAAGAAAAAGATGTGGATATTAGAAGCAAATATTTGACTTCACAATCAACTGGCTCTCAGAAAGAAGACACAGAAATTTTGGCTGACATGTCATCTAAGTTCTCTCAGGTAACTAGGCCAAGCATGCTGGAGAACACAAGCCGAAATTTGAATAATGAGCTACCACTACAGTCTGTGGGAACTGAACCATCATCAGTGTGCGCAGTTCAGAATGCCCCTCAGAAAGTTGATGATGATGATGATGAAATATTAATGAAGACTATGCAACTAATTTTTCAAGATACAAGACCTAGTGTCCTAGCAACTGTAGAGAGAGTGCCACAGAGTGCAGCAGCAGTAGTACAGCAAGAAACTGCAGGTACTGAAACAGATCGCAGACGTTGGCAGCACAACATACCAGATACATCATCCATTGTAGGATCTGTTATTGTAACTGAAGACAAGTGTTCATCTGATACACAGCAGTCACTTGTAGTTTCAATTTCCAGTCCTCCTGTCACTGATAAAGAGCCAATAAAAGAGTTGACCTTAGCTGATAAATTACTGCATCCACCTGTTCAAGATTCATTATCAGCATCAAATAAAATTCAAGCAGTTTCTAAACCATACCCTGTGCCTTCATCAAATTTGCCTACGGTGTTTATAGAACCTCACCAGAGAGAGGAAGTGAGAATGGACTATGAGGATGGTGACAAGACTTCAGATATTCCAAATAAAACCAATGCATCTTACTCACATAATATCTTACCTGCATCACAAATAGAACCCTCTACAAATTTGAAACTGCCATTACAGACAACTGAATCAACTGCATCCAGCGAAGCACTTGTAGATGTTCTTCGTGCACCTTCAGCAATTCCACCAGAAACATCAGCAGTGTTCAGTTCACCCTCTCAGAGTACAGTTACAGCATCCACCACCAGTTCAGAGGTGAAATCTATTCCAGAAACAGCCCTCTCCAGCAAAGTGGTTAAAAGTACTGCAGTTCTGCCTCGATCTGTATTTTCAGGAGGATTGTCGGGTTCTGGCCAGTCCATGTTGGCATGCAGACTGAGTACGATAGCGAGTGGACCTCCAGTAAATACTACACAGACAAGTCAGAGTGCAGCACCCCAGGGAATTATGACTTCTTCTGAGATAGTGAGCCAAATTGCAACAGTACCTGTCCCCATGTCCACAGGGTGTCCTGTTGTCATGACTCCTAGGATTTCATCCACTGCTGGCAGATTCTCACCCATAGTGAATACAGGGCAAGCTGTAGCATCTGTTGTGAGACAGTATGTGGCTTACACACAGCAGCAAGTGGCATCACAAACATCTCCTGTAATTGCAGGTATCTCAAGAAGCTTGTCAATGCCTTCCCCTGCCCATTCACCACACCTGCCAGCTCAGGGCAGTGTCAGTGTTTTGGCACCAACCACTGCTGCCAGAGTAATTTCATCAAAGTCACATCAAAGTTTGGCAGCAGAACAGTTTGTGCAGAGTAGAACAGAAGCACCACCTGTGCTGACTGTGAGTAGTAGTGTTATGCAGTCACAGGCCACAGTTTCTTCCATGCCTCAGCCATCAGGAACCATCTTGCAGACACGAGTATCAGCACCACCATCTGCCTCTGGATTAGCAGCAATACAGCATGTTACATCATATGAAGGAACCAACAGGACAGATGGAGATATCGAGACAGTAGTAACATCAGCTTTAGAGAGATTAGGAAGAGATGTAATTCTGTCAGTCTCTAGTGAATCTGCAACAAGTTCTAGAAACAGCGATCTTGTGGACTCTTCAAAGTATCCATATGCAAGTTCTGCACCACCAAGAATCCAGTCATCTTGCAGTGTTTTTTCCAGTGTCATGTACCCACAGAGAAGAATGAGTGCTGGAGAAATCAAGGTGGAGGAACCAGCAAGGTCATGCCAGTTCGAGCAGCTGACAGCAGTTAAAACTGAAACCTTGGATTTGTGTCTGTTTCAAGAATCACCAGTTCCCACCACAAGTATTATCATGCAGCAACAGCAGCATTCTAGTCCAACTCTTACATCAATTTCAAAACCTGTTGCAACATCGTGCATAATGGCTTCTCAGCCATCAGTTGCAACTATAGTACCAAAGACCGAGACGCAGCATTTGGTCAGCAGCTGTAAATTTTCATCAACAACACAGGCTTTGTCCCAGCCCCAGCAGCAAGCCCCAGTGCCTGCATTCCCACACAGGATGGAGGAGTCACAGAATGTATTATTGAAGCAGCTTCTTCAAAACACTGGCTGTGCTCAAACCCAGTCACAGCAAACATCGTCTGTACCAACTCACCATCATGGTGCTCCTAGTTTACCTGTAGTACCATCATTAGAAGCTCAGCTGGCAAGACCAGTCCCTCCCACGCCATCTTCCCTTTTGCCGCCGCTTCTTACAAATGACAGTCCACAGTCACAAACACCACAGTTATCACGACAGTTGTCACACTTGACAACACGTGAAACATCCCTTGTTTCAAGACCCCCTCCACAACTTTCTACTTCTCTGTCCATCCCTGTGCAAACTGACAGGAGGCCAGACCCTCCAAATAGAGAGAATGTCCTCTCTCCTCCAGCAACACTGAGGTCCTGCGCTAATGTGGCTGAATCTAACCTCCATGAACCAACCCCCTTATCATCACCTCATGTTGTGACAATAAAAAAGGAAGTTGCACCTCCGCTGCAAAGTCCATCTGCTGATGTGAAGAAGGAGACTGTGTCAGATGATTCGTCAGAGCAGGTGGCAAGTGAAAAGAAAGAGTTTCATGGCAAGACAGAGCAGCCATCAAAGGATGAGATTGGTGATTTAGGAATGGAAGCAAGCTGTGACAAGACAACTCAGGATCAGGCAGCATTGGGTGAGTCCTGTCATAGTGTTCGTTTCAGTGGTGGTCATAGTTGTAATTGTGGCATTCTAAAGCAAAATGCTGCATAAATAAAACAGTGATAATAAGGATGATATTACTACCAGTTGCTTTTTGCTCACTAATGAATAATACTGGGCTACAGACAAACAGTAATTACACATTGTTTCAAATATCACAATCTATTTGCATTTTCTCATGGTGTGAGCTTCTCATAAAAATTTTGAAATGTATTAAATAATATATGATTTCACAGTTTAAATTAATATACAAGAAGTTCATTCAGAAAAAATATTCTTCTACCACAGTTCAAACTCACATATTTGACTTCTGTATCAGTGTTAGTCTATTATGCTATCGACTCATCGAATAGCAAATATGGAAATCGAAGTGAAGTACAACTTGCACTTTAATTTTACCATGGAACCTAATCCCATGTCTCACAAAGGTAATTGACATTCATGTTTTTCTTCAAATTAGTCTCATGTGTTGAATGTCTTTGCTTAATACATATTTGGCATACATAATTGTAATAATGGGTGGTGGAGATAATTCTGGTATGTACAAAAATATAA